GCTGACGTTACACAACTGGAATTAATTTTAAGTTAAAAGTGTTGTACCGCCCGACAGTTATGATACAACGAGGTGAACTACGCAACTTGGCCAACTTCTTCCTACAACTTCGACCGTAACACGGCTCATTGACAACGACGAATTTCTGCACGATGTTCTGCCGTGTTATGGCCTCGCGGTTACATCGAACGACTTCTTGCGAGATACGTGGTCGTTACGATCCTTTATGCGTTGTACTTGCCAAGGTATCGAAAGATTTAAAGGGCTGGAAAATTTTTTATTTTATAAAAATGTGGTTATTTGTGTTTGATGGAAAATATTTTGTGTACCTTGGAAAATATATTTATATTTTGCAAAGTTTATAAAATATATTTGATAAAACTTTGCGAAATATTGTAAGTTTTATTATAAATAAAATTTTTGACGTTTTATATTTGATCAAAGTTCTTCATGAATTTTATAAAGTATGAATTTCGTAGTTGATGAATTTTATATTTGATGCACTTCATTTTTTATGAACTCAACTTTATTAAAGTATCACAAACTTATACATTATTAACTTCATAAAATATTGCAATAATTTTACATACTATGAAGTTTATGATAAATTGTGCAATGTATCTTGAACTTCATACTTGATAAACTTTATCAAACATTCTGACAAACTTATACATTATTAACTTCGTAAAATATTACATTATTAACTTCAAAAAATATTGCAATAATTTTATACACTAATGAAGTTTATAATAAACTGTGCAATGTATCTTGAACTTCATACTTGTTAAACTTTATCAAACATTCTGACAAACTTATACATTATTAACTTCATAAAATATTACATTATTAATTTCAAAAAATATTGCAATAATTTTATACACTAATGAAGTTTATAACAAACTGTACAATGTATATTAAACTTCATACTTGATAAACTTTATCAAAGTACAAACTTAAACGTTACAAAGTATTAACGTCATAAACTGCACTTAACGAGCTTTACTATAAATATACTTTACACGGTTTATATCTAACTGCATAATCTCTAATAAACAGCGGTTTAATCCCTATTATGCTTGTTCAGCCCGCAATAATTGTGTTTATGTAATCAGCAAAATGTGTATCGAAATTATGGTAACAGATGCTCGGCACACAAAATGATAATAATGTGTGTCTGATTGATGTCGATAGTAGCCATCGATATAAAACCCCTTTACGATCATGTATTTTCGTTGCGTGCACGTTTTATGGGCCCGTATACGGTCGCACGTACAGCCATTTCTCTTTGCCGCGCGTAATTGTGACCCCAGTATCGATTATTATTGGAACAGTGTGGTTAGGTAGAAATACATTCGATATTAGTGAAATTGTTCGCGTGTGAAAATTGAGATTAACAGGTTGGTTATATGTTAAGACAAATTTAATATGTGGTGTCTTAGATGTTTGTTAGGTTAGGTTAATCTAACCTATATTTTTCTTGAAGTAGAGGACTGAAGGGAATGGGAGGTTTGTTGTACAATTTGGTATTAATTGTTGAGTATAAAAGTCGTAATGGAACTCCAAACTGAGTGCATGAAAAATTCAAATAATATAAAAATTAATTACAAAGTACGAGTGTGTGAAGCTCCCATAATTCCACGCTCCCAAATCCCCACGCTTCCAAATCCCAAATCTCCCTAATCTCCACGCTCCCAAATCCCAAGCGTCCCAAATTCCAAGCGTCCCAAATCCCAAGCGTCCCAAATCCCAAATCTCCCAAATCCCAACCAAGCGTCCCAAATCCCAAGCGTCCCAAATCCCAAGCGTCCCAAATCCCAAGCGTCCCAAATCCCAAGCGTCCCAAATCCCAAGCGTCCCAAATCCCAAGCGTCCCAAATCCCAAGCGTCCCAAATCCCAAGCGTCCCAAATCCCAAGCGTCCCAAATCCCAAGCGTCCCAAATCCCAAGCGTCCCAAATCCCAAGCGTCCCAAATCCCAAGCGTCCCAAATCCCAAGCGTCCCAAATCCCAAGCGTCCCAAATCCCAAGCGTCCCAAATCCCAAGCGTCCCAAATCCCAAGCGTCCCAAATCCCAAGCGTCCCAAATCCCAAGCGTCCCAAATCCCAAGCGTCCCAAATCCCAAGCGTCCCAAATCCCAAGCGTCCCAAATCCCAAGCGTCCCAAATCCCAAGCGTCCCAAATCCCAAGCGTCCCAAATCCCAAGCGTCCCAAATCCCAAGCGTCCCAAATCCCAAGCGTCCCAAATCCCAAGCGTCCCAAATCCCAAGCGTCCCAAATCCCAAGCGTCCCAAATCCCAAGCGTCCCAAATCCCAAGCGTCCCAAATCCCAAGCGTCCCAAATCCCAAGCGTCCCAAATCCCAAGCGTCCCAAATCCCAAGCGTCCCAAATCCCAAGCGTCCCAAATCCCAAGCGTCCCAAATCCCAAGCGTCCCAAATCCCAAGCGTCCCAAATCCCAAGCGTCCCAAATCTCCACGCTCCCAAATCCCAAGCGTCCCAAATCTCCACGCTCCCAAATCCCCACGCTCCCAAATCCCAAACCTCCCAAATCCCAAATCTCCCAAATCCCAAGCGTCCCAAATCTCCACGCTCCCAAATCCTCACGCTCCCAAATCCCTACGTTCCCAAATCCCTACGCTCCCAAATCCCAAATCTCCCAAATTCCAAATCTCCCAAATCCCAAATCTCCCAAATTCCAAATCTTTCAAATCCCAAATCTCCCAAATTCCAAATCTCTCAAATCCCAAATCTCCCAAATTCAAAATCTCCCAAGTTCCAAATCTCTCAAATCCCAA